TGCATTTCTACGGGTCTCCTACCTCTCTCATTTAGCCCAGCCTTACCTTCATCTTTCATTTTTGCTGTTATTTCCCTCAATTGAATCATGAGTCAACCCATGCTTTACTTTGGAGCGTGGCGTAATATTTATGAAGTTTTAAAAATGTGTATTCACTCGGCAAAGGAAGACTTTTCTCTCTGTCTCTCTCTCTCACTGTCCACTCTGCCTGTCAAAAAAAAAATGTGTATTCACTAATCTCAAACAGTCCATGTTTTGACAGTAGGCTACATATTTTACCTAAAATTCCCAGGAATTTGCATTCTGTTCCATTGAATGGTCTGTTTCGTGTGTGTGTATTCTTATCCATGCATCCTTTATTCTGTTCCAGTCATTGTACCCCTAAGCAGAAGTGCACAAACTGGAACCACAATCCAGTTGTTCAAAGTGAGGTTTACAGTAATTTTAAGTTTTTAAAATTTGAAGGAAAAAAAAGACCTAAGAACCCCCAGACCCGCATTCCAAACCAATACAAGTAATTTATTAGTTCAAAGCATTTCACATTTCTCACACCCATGCGGCATTAACTCATGTCAAAATCCAAATAGCTCCTGAAATAAAAATAATTAGTGAAATTTTAATTATGTATATTCTTCAAAGCATGAAATTTGGAGTTTCATATTGGAAATGCTATAAAAATTTTATAGCAAACCATAGGAACTAAAACATATTAACAAAATATATTCAATCACTTACATAACAAATGAACATGCAGTTCATTGTTGTACCTGACAAAAGTACCCATTAAAATTTTTGCACAATGCAATTTCAAATATATACAGTACTTTTAAAAGATTGTATTTGAGATGTAGAGTTAGAGACAGGGAGAGACAGAAAGGAAGGTCTTCCATCTGCTGGTTCACTCCCCAAATGGCCCCAATGGCCAGAGCTGGGCTGATCTGAAGCCAGGAGTCAGGAGCTTCTTGTAGGTCTCCCATGTGGGTGCAGGGACCCAAGTACTTGGGGCATCATCTCTGTTTCTAGCAGAGAGCTAGACTGGAAGAGGAGCAGCTAGGAATAGAACTGGTGCCTATAAGGGATGCAAGCACCAGAGGGGGAGGATTATCCCATGATGCTACAGAGCCAACCCCTATGTACAGCACTTTTAAAAAGCCCTGTAGGGGCCGGCGCCGCGGCTCACTAGGCTAATCCTCCGCCTAGCTGCGCCGGCACACCGGGTTCTAGTCCCGGTCGGGGCGCCGGATTCTGTCCCGGTTGCCCCTCTTCCAGGCCAGCTCTCTGCTGTGGCCAGGGAGTGCAGTGGAGGATGGCCCAGGTGCTTGGGCCCTGCACCCCATGGGAGACCAGGAAAAGCACTTGTCTCCTGGCTCCTGCCATCAGATCAGCGCGGTGCGCCGGCCGCAGCGTGCCGGCCGCAGCGGCCATTGGAGGGTGAACCAATGGCAAAGGAAGACCTTTCTCTCTGTCTCTCTCTCACTGTCCACTCTGCCTGTAGGGTGACCTCATGGAAGGAGAGTTGGTGAGACTCTTTGTGACATGAACTGGGCTCTCAAAATATTGAAAATCAATTGGTTAGTAGCACATTTACATTGAACTAATTTTTTTGTTTAGGAACATTTCATTTCCATTTATATGGTTACAGTTGACAAGTTATCCAATTTATTTGTTGGGAAAAGATTTGCATGTACACAAAAATTAAAGGGTTTTTAGCACAATAGTTTTGTAATTATACTACCATTACTTCACAAATGTTTGAACCCATGAATTCAGTGCTGAAAAGAGAGCTGAGTGTCAAATACTGGGAGTAGTGGTAGAGATGGCCTTGAGTCCTCCAACATAAATGAATCAGAAATGATGGGCAAGTGGGAGAAACAGATGAGTGAGCCCACTTTACATGACAGTAGAAAATGCTCCCCAAACTCAGCTCTCATTCCTCTTCCTGCAGGATAAGGAAGCTGGGAATCAGTATTGCTTAAATTTAACCTGCTACAGGAGTTAGCAGAGCCACCTTGAGACATAAAATTCAGAGATTTCACCAGTTCTGTGATTAGAACATGCTGAAGGCTATACACTTCTTCACCATCACTGAGCCATTATAGCTAGTCAGTTAAAGCAGGAGCAAAACAGAGGACTCTTCTGACCACAGTAAATGAGGTAATGGCAAGCTGTCAGCTTCAGGAATAAGGAAGTTTGTGACACAAAAACTGTTTTACTGTTGCCGGCTATTACATATAAAGCTCTATCTATGTCATTATACTCAACCCATTTGACCCAGAGGAGCTCCACAGTGAGGGGAAAATATGACTAAATGGACAGGTCATAGGAGGAATTTATGACCTCATCCTCCACAATGTGAATGGCCAACATGGGAGAGGAGACTTTATTTATTTATTTATTTTGACAGGCAGAGTGGACAGTGAGAGAAAGAGACAGAGAGAAAGGTCTTCCTTTTGCCGTTGGTTCACCCTCCAATGGCCACCACAGCCAGCGCGCTGTAGCCAGCGCACTGCGCTGATATGATGGCAGGAGCCAGGTACTTCTCCTGGTCTCCCATGGGGTGCAGGGCCCAAGTACTTGGGCCATCCTCCACTGCACTCCCTGGCCACAGCAGAGAGCTGGCCTGGAAGAGGGGCAACCAGGACAGAATCCGGCGCCCCGACCGGGACTAGAACCTGGTGTGCCGGCGCCGCTAGGTGGAGGATTAGCCTAGTGAGCCGCAGCGCCGGCCCGGAGAGGAGACTGTAAATATCTTGTCAAGGCTGGAGACCAAAGCAGTAAGTCTTCCTGGTATCCCAAAATCCACAGACAGACCAGCCATAAAGGAGGAGTGGAGGATGACCGCTGTGCACTTATACTGCAAAACCAAGTCTACCATGGGCACAATCCGAATTCTCTGCCCACAGAGGATATGTGTTTCTCTCTATGTGGGCATTATTAGCAGGAAGGCCAGGATGGTGGTCATGCAGCTCAGGCACGGAGGTCATCAGAAGAATCAGCCCAGGTCTCCTAACGAGAAGCCCTTCATCCAGGGTCCTGGCACCCATGGCTGCTGGCCAGGAAAGCCTGTGGTGGGAGGATGTAGCCCCATGAATGACTTGCTTCTTACATCAGTACTTTTTAACTCATATATCCATAAAATATGCAGTACTTTAGGATGACTGGCACATACAGGAGGCCTTGGTTTTATACATTGAATCCAGACCCCAGTTGCTTTCCTGAACCAGTTCCAGTTGTGGCTGACATTTGGGGAGTGGACCAGTGACAGAAAGATCTCTCTGTCTGTATCTCTCTGCCTTTTATATAAAACAAAAAGAAAGAAACTCTTAAAATGTAAAATGTGCATTATTTTTTTTTACAGGAGAGTGGACAGTGAGAGAGAGAGACAGAGAGAAAGGTCTTCCTTTTGCCATTGGTTCACCCTCCAATGGCTGCCACGGCCGGCGCACTGCGCTGATCCGAAGGCAGAAGCCAGGTGCTTCTCCTGGTCTCCCATGGGGTGCAGGGCTCAAGCACTTGGGCCATCCTCCACTGCACTCCCTGGCCACAGCAGAGAGCTGGCCTGGAAGAGGGGCAACCGGGATAGAATCTGGCGCCCCGACCGGGACTAGAACCCGGTGTGCCGGCGCCGCTAGGTGGAGGATTAGCCTAGTGAGCCGCAGCGCTGGCCTGTGCAGTATTTTTAAATATGTTACAATTAACAAACTGCCCCACTTCTTTAATTTGCCTTCAAGATTTCTTTGGAAATACTTATCTCTATATTATTTGAGAAGAATTTTTAAGCAAATGCAAATTTAATGAGCTTCTGATCGTGATTGCAGTAAGAGCATTATCTTAACTAACTATCTAGGCAAATAACACCCTCTGTGCCTTATTTTTTTTCTTGGACAGGCAGAGTGGACAGTGAAAGAAAGATCTTCCTTTTCCATTGGTTCACCCCCCAATGGCAGCTGCAGCCAGCGTGCTGCGGCCAGCACACTGCACTGATCCAAAGCCAGGAGCCAGGTGCTTCTCCTGGTCGCCCATGTGGGTGCAGGGCCCAAGGACCTGGGCCATCCTCCACTGCACTCCCAGGCCACAGCAGAGACCTGGACTGGCAGAGGAGCAACCGGGACAGAATCCGGCGCCCCGACCGGGACTAGAACCCGGTGTGCCGGCGCTGCAGGCGGAGGATTAACCTATTGAGCCATGGCACCCGCCTCCTTATTTGTTCTTTAAAAACTCTTTGGATGGGGCTGGCACTGTGGTGTAGCAGGTAAAGCTGCCGCTTGCAGTACTGGCATGCCATATGGGTGCTAGTTGGAATACCGGCTGCTCCACTCCTGATCCAGCTCTCTGCTATAGCCTAAAAAATCATTACAAGATGGCCCAAGTCCTTGGGCCCCTGTACCCACGTGGGAGACCCAGAAGAAACTCTGGTCTCTGGATCAGCACAACTCCAACCACTCCGGACAATTGGTGAGTGAACCAGCAGATGGACCACCTCTCTCTCTCTCTCTTTCTCTCTGCTTCTCCTCTCTGTGTGTAACTGAGTTTCAAATAAATAAATAAATCCTTTAAAAAAAAACTATTTGGGAGGCATAGAGAGAAACACAGCTCTCATTAGCTGGTTGACTGCCAAAATGCCCTCAATGGCTGTATCTGGATCCAGTTGAAGCTGGGAACTGGGAACACAATTATGGTCTCCCACACAGATCACAGGGAACCAATTACTTGAACCATCATCTGTTGTCTCCCAGTGTGCAAATTAGGATGATGCTGGGATTGAGAGAGGTGCTGGAGCTTAAAATTAAGGTACTTCAAACTGAGATACAGGCAACACAAATATGTCAAATTCATAAAACTATAATATAAATTTTGTATGAACTATTTTAGAACCACATATTTCATGACTCAGTAATTTTTTTAGTCTTGAAAGAAGACACCTGCATGCAAGAATTCCATGAGGGTTGTAGGGAGGTGATGTTAATATCATTGTGTACACATATAGATAACATGGGATAGGAGGCTGGGCAGTCAGTGTCTCTGAGAGTGAGGGACTTCATACCAGAGGAGAGAGTTCAGGCAAGGAGATCCCAGGAAGTCAGGTCACGCCCTTTGTGACAGACCCTGATAGAACTAGGAACCCTGGTGACCAGGTTCCTATGACCTAGAAACAGCCTCTACACAACTCACTTGGCCAGAGTTGAGACAAGAGGTTCTCATGCTACTTTTTTATTTCCAGAGGCTACGGCCTAGGAAGACCATTGGGTAAAAGCCTTTCCCTGTGGTACAGATATTTACTCAGGCCTGAACACTGCCTCCGGCCACTTGCCAGATGGCACAGAAAGTAACAAAGGATGACCCAGGAAGGCCCATCAAGACCAGGCCAGCACGGTGAGCCTCATCCTGTGATGTAATAGGAGTCATGATGGGGAAGCCCATGAGGGGAGGAACATGTAGGTGGGAGGTCCTCTCATGCGAACACCCCACATGATAGGTGTGACAGGGCCAGAAGGAGCATTTGTGTCACCTCTCATCTAGAGAGCTGCTCCTCCAGTTTGCTCAGGCTGTCATGAACTTTGTTCCAGATTTGTTGTGAAACAAGGATCTGTGTGTGGTGCCAGAGTACAAGGTCATCTTGATAGGAACAAGCCAAACCATGACCAAGACAGACTCTGGTACTACTGTGGGGCTGTGGACAGGGATTCTACGTCCCAGGTGAGTGTGGGAACAGATGGGATTCTATACCTGGTGAAGGTAGAAGGCCAGAGAAAATCATGGGGAAAAGATGCCCTGATCAACTCCCTGCCATGGCTTTGCTAATGAGAGATCTCTCAAAGGAATTAAGAGATTCACCCTCCCAGCTCAGCGTCTGCTTTATCTAGAGGAAGGTCACAATTCAGATATTTGCAAGCATATCAAAAGTTACTTTCTACAAATTTACTTACGTTGTTTTAATTACTTTGCCTTTAATGATTTCATCATGTTTTTACTGTTATGCCCTCATGTACATGTGGGAGGTGACCTGATAACCCTTCTCCATATCTCACACACTATCGTGATGGGTAGGGCTATTTGTCCAAAAAGAGGAATGGCTCTTACTCTGGAAGTTGCTGTCTACCTAACACCTCCATGTATGGAGCTAAGGCTGATTCTACCATAGGAGTTGAGAAAACAACTTTGACATCAATAGACTTTGAAGAAGCTGTAGAAAGCACATACATGTATATATTTAGTGCTACATTCTCAAGCACTCTAGAACCACTATATCATGTTATAGCTCCTCCCACATCATTAGGCAGATACTCACAGAACAAATGGGCCCACTGGTACTCATGAAGAGCAATCACCCCACAATGCTTCTCATGAAAGAAACAAAGATTGAACTGATAGGTGGTAGGATGTTGGGAGGGGAAAGGTGACTCTGTTTATCCTGAGTGGTAGTTACTCCATTACCTTTGCTTTAATTTTATGCATTTTCCTTAATCTTTTTAACATTTGGATTTGCAAATTATATTGTTTATATGACAATAATTACATGTAATTCCACCATGTTAATAAATTCCATGTAACCACTATAAAATTTCATTGTTATATTTTAAAACTGTAGGTGGATATAAAATAGAAACAATGGCTATGCAAAAATATCTCATTTCCTCTTATGATGAATAAACTTCTCTGAGAAGCTTTTAATAATTTTAGTAGCATAAATAAAATAGTGCAGAAGGGCACCTATTCTATTGAATAAAAATATGCACACACACACACATGCCTATCTTCTGTCAGGTTTTCTAATTCAAAAAACACTGAGCAAGCAGAAGAGAAAATATGTGGGACAAAACAAAGCTTCTTGAAAGGCTACAATCTCAGTTGCTAAGTGAAGAAAATCCACAAAGAAAGAGTAACAATGCTGCCTTCATAGATCAGAGTTCTTGTTATTTAATTAGTAGGCAACACAAAATGAATAGTACTTCTGTTTAGTATGCCATTTTAATGTAAAATTATGATGATCCTAATTGATTTTATGCTAAAGCTTAATGTGTGTCAGCTACAAAAGTATTTTTGACTGGAACTAAGAGAGTACTTCATATCACAAGAACAAAGAGAAGACAATGCTTCAGTTTACTGAAAGGCATGTTTTGGGGATGATTGTCATAAAAACAGGAGAAAATGGACTTTTCAGGAAAACCATTACATGCATTTTTCTTTAAAGATTTTTATTTATTTATTTGAGAGGTAGAGTTACAGACAGTGAGAGGTGAGAGGGAGAGACAGAAAGGTCTTCCTATCATTGGTTCACTCCCCAGATGGCTACAACAGCTGGAGCTGTGTCAATCCAAAGCCAGGAGCCAGGTGTTCTTCCTGGTCTCCTACACAGGTGCAGGGGCCCAAGCACTTGGGCTATCCTCCACTGCTTTCCCAAGCCATAGCAGAGCTGGACTGGAAGAGGGGCAGCTGGTGCAGGCGTACACCTTCCGGATAGGTTAACGCCGGCGAGACCTCGGAGACACCAGACGTGTTTATCGGCTTTTCAGCTTTCACTTTATTTTTCAGCGGACTCGCGTTACATGTCGCGAACGCCCGCCCTGTTACCGGCATTCATTCACAACTCATTCATTCACAACTCCTTCATTCACCACTCCTGCTTACTACTCGCATTCATTCATAGCTCCCGCCTGTTTCCGGCGTTCATTCACAACTCCGCCTGTTACCGGCGTTCATTCATTCACTCCGCCTTTTACCAGCGTTCATTCATTCCTCCGTCTTTTACCAGCGTTCATCCATTCACTCCCGCCCACCGTCCACCTATTTATATATATCATTCACGGAAAACATGTTACCAACTAAGTGTGGGAAACATGCAATAACAGGATGCTTAAAGTCAAAACAGGATCTTGCAATTAGCAACGGGCAGGGTGGAAAAAGCCCAGCACTAAACTTCTTGTGCTTGTACATGTCGGGAGGGGCACAGCTGGCCAGGCTGTCCCGTTCCCCGACAAGCTGGGACTAGAAACGATGCCCATATGGGATGCCAGCAGCACAGGTAGAGGATTAACCTACTGAGCCACGGCGCCAGCCCCAACTATTACATGCATTTCAACAAGTGCTTCAGTGACAAATATTAAGTTCAATTTAAAAATTCTCTACTTGAGCCCATTAGTTTATAGGAAATGCAACTCAGTAGGAAAAACTGTTCATGTTATCGCCCTTTCCTTGATCAATCAATGGGTATGGCCCATTCTGCTCAAGACAGGCTTGAGTCTAGACATGTACAATATTCTGAAGATGAAAGTAATGCTGTGAATCCATGTAGGAAATGTTAAATCCTTGACTTATACAGATATAAGCCAAAAATGATGAAATTCTGGTATTTAATAGATCTAGAACAATGCAGAAGTAAATTAGAAAGCAGTATTCTCAAAATATATATTTTACTGGGTTGGAAAGAGATCATGTTAAGAAAACATTGTTCAGATTAGACTCCATTCTACACAATAACAAACACAAAGCCATGAAAACATGGCACTCAAGGGAGGAAGAGAAATTGGATTTTTGAGTCAATTTCAGGTCATTACAGGATTGCTATGTATTTTCTATAAGTTGTTTCTAATGAATCTTGACACATTTTATTTCATACAAATAATGTTATGTACTCAGCTCATTATGAGACAATAAATATATTAGAAAAGGTCTTCAAAACCCATAAAATGTATAATTTTATGCAATTTTAATAATACAATATTCCAAAATGGAATATTAAGGTGGTTAAAGAATTACTCCATGATCAGTAAATTTAAAAATCACCACGTAAAACAAGGTAAATACACCTCCTTCATACAGCATTCTTCAGAGCCTGTCCTTTGTCAAAATGAACATGAATCAGTAGGAACAGAAAACAGAATAGAATTCACCAAATGTATTTCAGCACAAAATCTTTTTTCTTGAAAAACCCATGCAGGTAATGTTTTTCAGAATATATTTTATGAAATGTTGACAAAACTTGAAAAGGAAAATGTCATTTTAAAATAATGCAATCTTAGAATGTAATAATGACGTATTATCCTAATTATATTGGTTCATAATCAGGCACGGAATAGAGGACTATTTGAAAACCTCTGGTGTATATCTGGAAGACTCCAATTCTGATAGTGGAACTACCTAAATGAAAGTTATGTCTGGAAAATTGGTATCGTGAGTACCAGGACAGATGCTCGATTCCCACCAAGCACCAAGGCCAAGACAGCTGAGGCTGGTGCAGAACCTGACGCAGAGGTCACTGAGGCTGCAAGCTGGATGCAGGTGTGTTGAGAAGAATGTAGGCAACGGGACATCGAGTGATCTCAAGAGCCAGCGTGGGGCCTTAACTCCACCAGATAGGAACAAGTTGATGAATGGACAATCACCTCAGAAGGTTTTATGTTATCTAAAATACATTTTATCCAAGGTATTTAACAAATGGAATATGTATAACAGGATATATCAAATATGGCAGATGTTGAGTAAATGAGCTTAAAGTGTTCTAATGTCTATAATATTCACTATAAGATCACAGAGCCCAACTATTATTAGAATTCAATAAATCAATGCATGCTTTAGTATATAGGGTAACCACTAAAAATTGTATGAGTGTATAATTTACAAGCTAAGAGATGAAAATATAGCAGACCAAAAGCAATTTAAACTCCAGTATGACATGGTTCACATCATATGTTAATAATCCATACTCAGTGCTACTGCCAAATATAATCAACTATACGACTGATTGGTTTATGACAATGGACAAGTGTGGTACTTGAAAGCCCTGCACAAGTTGGTTAACACCCAACTATCAGTGCCACTGCCATCTACCTTTTCTGTGGATCTTTTCTTCCAATTTCTAATCGTCTCTGAAGGCTTATATGCTTTTTGAGGCTGGTCTCTCAACTTTTCTTTATTCTTGTAAAAAATATGCTGATGACATCTTGACCAGGGTAATTACAGTAGCCCTGAAGATCAGCATAATTAACTTCATGTGGCCCTGATTTTAAAATGTCCCTTGAATATTGTGTGGTTTACTCCTTGCTTGGGGGTGGGGGGCATGGAATGCATTTTCAGTTAGTAAAAAAGATGGGAGTGGGGGCTTTGAATTGTATTGCAAAGAAATTTGAAAAATTTTAAAAGCCCTATTAGATAGAGCAGCACCAAGGAGGCTGGAGTTCAACAGTATGGCAAGTGTAGGAACCGGACAGCAGCCTCAGACACCAGACTTTCCACCGCTTTTCTATTGAAGTGTCTAAATTTCCTAAGATCAGGAACAGACAAGTATGTCCCTTCCACCACTGCCTTTCAACATCTTACTAGAAGTCCTAGCTAATGACATAGGTAAGAAGTGGAAATAAAGACATACAGGTTTAGGAAGAAAAAGTCGTTGTTCAGAGAGAATGTAAATATTTATGTAGAAAAATACAAACAAATCAACTAAGTTACTCCTGGAATCAATGATCAATCATACCAAGTTTATATATAGTTGTTATCAGTTGCTTTCTTACATAACAGAAACAAAATAATTTAAATAAAAGCACATTACCATTTACATAACCCCACAAAGTATGTTAGTATAATCCTAACAAATTATGAGTGTAGATAGAGCATAACTAAGTGAAAGATCTATATGAGAAAAACCATAATCCTTCGTTGAAAGCTATTAAAGAAAAATTAAATATTGGAGATGGATTCCATGGTCATAGGTAGAAAAGACCCAAAATTACAATTACCAGTACTTCCCCCACTTTTTATATCAATTCAACATAATTCCAATCAAAATGCTGACAAGTTATTTTGTGATTATAAACAAAAATATATTCTAAAATTAATGTGGAAGACCAAAAGACCCAAAAAAGCCAACTCACTACTGAAAGAAAAGAATACACTTGGAGGATCAGCACTCTCCAACTTTAGTATTTACTAGAATGTTAACCAAGGGGCCAGCGCTGAAATGTAAGTAGGCTAAGCCTCCACCTGTGGTGCTGGCATCCCACCTGGGTGCTGGTTCTAGTTGTGGCTGTTTCTGTTCTGTCTGATCCAGCTCTCTGCTGTAGCCTGGAAAAGCAGCAGAAGATGGCCCAAGTACTTGGGTCCCTGCACCCACATGGAAGACCTGGAGGAAGCTCCAGCTCCAGCATTTGCGACATTTGGTGAGTGATCCAATGAATGGAAGACCTCTCACTGTCTCTCCCTCTCTCGGTCTGCAACTCTACTTCTCAAATAGAGCCTTTTAAAAACAAAAGAAAGTTAACCAAGACAGTGCAGTATTGATGAAGGAATAGGTAAGCACATTATAAAAAAAAAAATTAGAAAGCCCAGAAGTAGACCTTCATCAATGTGGATAACAGATCACTGACATAAGAGTAAAATCAGTATCATGGAGCAAGGACAGACTTTCAACAAATAGTGCTGCAAAAAATAGACATCCACATGCCATAACACAAATCTACTCACAAACTTCACAAAAATTAGCTTAAGTTGGCTGTAAACCTAAATGAAAAAAAAAAAAAAAAGGCAAATTATTAACCTCCCAGGAAAAGATACAGGAGAACATTTAGGTAAGCTTGGGTATGGTGCTTATATACAGCCCTGAAGGCACAGTCCATGAAATAAATGACTGTTAACCGGTCTTCATTAAAATGAAGGACATTTCCTTTGTGACAATGTCAAGATAAAAGAAGGGCCAAAGCTGGTAAAAAAATTTTGTAAAAACATGTGATAAAGGAATATATATGCACATATCATAATATAAACAACCCAAAATAAAGAAGGAAATTTGAAACTCAGCAAAAACAAAAATCCAATATAAAAATGGTCTTCAAAATGGAAAGATCAGCAGGGGCCCTAAGAGTGTTTCATCTGAGGACTAATGAGGTAATGCATGTAAGGTCATCAACTAATAGAGGGAATCACCCAGAGAATCATAAGGAGCAATGTTAGATTTCACACTGATAGATTTCTCTCCAACCAGGGTAGAACCTTTCATTCTTGGGGCCTGGTATAATTTTAAGAAAATATTTGCCTATTGATGGGAAAAACTAATTCACAATTTAATGCTACCCTGGAACCACCTAAAGAATAAAATTAGGACTTGAAAGGATGCAGCTGGCTTTAAGTGGCTTAAGTGATTCTCAAAACAAAGCCAACAAATATAAAATTATCCACCTTGAACATCTAGACACCAATACAAAAAAAAAAAATCACAGATACAAACCTTAACACAATTTAACTCAAATCACATCATGAAATGAAAACTGTAAAACATAAAATGTCTACATGAAAAAGATGGCCTTGAGTTTAATAACTAGATTAATATAACACCAATAGCAATATACTTAAACAAAAAATTAATAATTGTGTAAAAGTTAAGCACTTTGCCTTTTTGAAAGCTGCTGTTAAAGAATGAAAAGATATGTTACAACTAGAAAACATATGTATGTCAAAGCAGATAAGACTCAGCAAAAACAGAAAACAAAACTATAACAAAATATGCATCTGATATCAAATGAGTAAATATCCAAGAATGTACCATACTGTATTAGATCTACAGATGCATGTGAAAACACATAGGAAGATGTTTAATAGGGAATTGCAAATAAACCATGTCAATGGAAAGCCCATGTGCAAACACAAAGAGCTGAGTGCAAAAGGAAAGGGTCCAACTCAGGGAGAGGGCTGTGTGCACAGAGAGGGCCTTGTGCAAAAGGAAAGAGCCAACATGTGTAAACGGAAAAAGTAAAGGATTGACAGAGCCCTGAGCGCCCACAGGGAGGACCTAGAAGCCCAGTGGGGTCAGAGCCCAGGGAGGGGTGAGGGTAAGGGACTGGGGCAAAGGCCCTAGGCCAGCAGCTTGAGCACAAGTGCAGCTTCTGGAACACAGCTGAGAGGCACATGTTACTCAGGGAGCTCAGGTCAGCAAAATGTGATCCAGCTGCTCAGCGTCTACAAGGGTCAGAACAGCCGTGGGCACCAGCTGGGCCTTGCTGGGGCTCAGTCTGGACGTTACCCAGCTGGACTCCGACCCAGGAGACATCAGCTGAGGCCTGCCTGAGAGCAGATATTCCCAGTGACCTTCAGGTAACTCCACAGAGGGCAGGGGGAGTGGACACTGGACTCAGAGTGGACAATAGGATGACTGAGTAGACACTGGATGGGCCCCGCTTCTGGAGGCTGAGTCATAGACACCCCCAAGCAACCCCGGGTTGAATAAAGGATTTATGTCCTGCATGTGATGTGCATGCAACACACACATGCCAAGCATATCACGCCGGCCACAGGTCATCTTCCTCTTCCAGGAGCTCAGCCCCCGATGCCTCCCAGAACGGACGCTGGGGGCGAAGCCCACTTGGTTGCTGCTTCCCAGGGCTCGGCTCATCCGTGTCGGACCTGTGGTGTGCCCAGGTGAGTGACAAGTTTGACATTTGACAGGTGAGCCCCAAGTGGGCACCAGATGCACCTGTACTCTGCAGCCTGGACTGGTAGACCTGCTTCTCGGGTTAAGCCCCAAATCCACGCACCCACTCCTCCCGACACCAGTGCGGCTGCCACTCTAGTGGACCCCTCTGAACATGGGAGAGGTGGACCCGCCCAGGTCCTGGGCTTTCCTTGTCGGGCCCCACCTCCATCTATGCCCCATCCCCCCAGCTCTACCACTTCCTCCCCAGCCCTGCCTCCCTCAGTTCCCTCCCAGCCTCACTCCAGCCCCACCCCTCTCACCGGCCCCACCTCTCCAGCTTTGCCAGACTCCTCTGAGTAGTATGAGGACAGTCCTCTGAGGTTGCTGACATCTCCTGGGGCCCCTCCACCACAGGAAGTCGTACTCCACCCTCTCTTCTCAGCCCCATCCCCAACCCCCACCCCTCCCCCATCCAGCACTAACCCGTCCTCCCACAGCTGTGCTGCTGCCTCCTCGGCCACCAGCAGTCTGTACTCGGCGGCTGCGAAACGGTCCCAGTCTGACAGCTCAGGGCCATCACCGTCCTGCAGGAGGCATGCAGTCAGCAGTGGTAATCAGCAGTCATTGGTCAGTAGAGGTCAGCAGTCAATGGTTAGCAGCAGTCAAGTAGGGGCCATCAGCAATTGGTTGGCAGCGGTCATTGGTGAGTAGTAGTAGTCAGCATTGGTTAGTGGACAGCAGTGGTCAGCGGTCAGCAGAGGTCATCAGTCATCAGATTTACAAAAGCAGTGAGGAAGATCCTTCTGCCATCATGCCTGGCCAAAGTGATGGGCAGATAGGAAGTGTTGTTGATGTCATAATATAGATAATGTCATGATGACATCAAGATGCCAATATGCTACTAGTGATGCCTCTAGTTCCAATAACATCAAACTATTACATGATGTCATGATGACATCAACATTTAGGCAGCTTAGCACATCAGCTCTGAGCTGCAAGCACATAGTTCTCCTGGGCATCATCTTAATTCACATGGAAAATACAAAAAAATGACAGAATCTAGCCATGACCATTACTTTCCTGATATTCCAGGAAATATTAAATAAAAACGATTAGGGGTGGGACCAAGCATTACCCCCTCAGCTGAAGTCCTCATGGCCACCTCCGAGGTCAGCTTTGTAAGAGAGACCAGGAGGAAGAAGACCGAGAAAAATTCATGCCAGTTAATGGGTGATTGACAAGGTCATCGGCCATCATGGTGACCCCAAAAGGCCAGCCCATCCCCCAGTGGCTCCTGTTTCCATGCCCTGGTTGAGGGCTAGGGGGTCAAAGGGTTCCTGGGTCATAGAAGACCCTGTTGGCCCCAGGCTTAAAAAACAATTCACTGGCTCCGCCCAGCTTCCCAGGGAGCCATGGGTATGAGGGGACTGCCGAGGGTTGGAGACATGGCAAGCAAAGCCAGAAATTTAGACTTAAGGAGCCGCCTGCTCAGACCCCCTCTGCTGCCAGGCAGCGGGGTGATAGAGGCCAACGGAGCTTCTTTCCTCAGGAAGTTCCCACCTCCCTGTGTCAGTGGTGTCTGTGGTCAGTAGCAGTCAGTTGTCAGCAGGGGTCAGCAGGCAGCCTCACCCCGGGCAGGGCCAACTGCTCGTGCTGTTCACGGTCCAGGTACTTGTCCACGTTGAAGAAGGTGTCAAAGAAAATGGGCGCCAGCAGCCGGCACCGCTTCAGATCGCCCAGCGTGATGCGGCCTATGGGGGTGGATGCAAGGGCATGGATGTGGGGTTGGACACCAGGGCCAGGGCCAGGGCCAGACGTGGGGGATGTACATGTGGACCCAGAGAGGCCTCAGAGAAATCAGAGTAAACGATGCAGGCAGGTGCTGGGCAGCAGGGGCACAGGAGGCCTGGATGCTGGGATGGACGTGGTGGAGGGGGATAACCCAGACGCCTTGGCCATGGCCAGAGGGGACTGCAGGACCACTCGCCAGCAACGCCCTCCAGACCCTGTGGGCAAACAGCTGGGACCTGGTAAGTGGATCTCAGCCACTGAGGACCCTGGAGATGGGGAGGGGGCAGGGCCAGCAAGGGAAGGGACCTCCATGGTGGGGGCTGGGAAGGGAAGGGGCGGGTCTCTACCCTGGGTCCTTGGCCGAACCAGGTCCAGCATCTGGCAGAGGCAGTCTGGGAAGGGCAGTGGTTCGACGTCCAGGCTGCGTAGTCGGCGGCTCTGCTCCTCATAGAAGAACTCAAGCTCAAAGGCAGACAGTGCCCCGTCCCCATCTAGGTCCATACAGCGGAACCAGTACTCGATGCTGCCCAGTTGGGTAGGTGGCAGTCAGTAGGGGAATAAACTATGTTGACCCCAGAGTGACCACTGACCACACTAGGGACACAGTCCCCACCCAGGTCCATTCAGAACTAGTACTCAATGCTGCCTTGTCAAGGGAGATGGCAGTCAGCCGCTGACCACACTAACCGTGGAGTGATCCCTGACCATGCTGCTGACCACACTGACAGCAATGTGACCACTGATCACCCAAAAGATTCTGCTCACTGATCCCCTGAGCTGACCAAGTGGGCACTGCTGACCATACTAACCCCAAAGTTACCACTGGCCACACCATGGACACTGCTGACTTCACAGAACCCAAGCTGACCACTTTCCTGACCCAGACCACACCCTGGGCCGAGGAGTGAGCCCATGGTGTCCAGCGTCATCCACTATCCGCCTGCAAGGGGGGCCCTCAGACCCACCTGGTGGGCGTGGTCTTGTCCTCCTCGGAGAGCAGGAACCACACAAAGTCCTCGTAGCTCATCTTCCCTGCTCTCTGTGCCGTCCTGTCCCTGTGGTCAGCAGTAGCCAGCAGACACACAGGCAGGTTCAGCATGGGCCACTCCCAGCTGGGGGTATCCCTGTCCAGCCCCACATGGGGAACCCAAGGAGTCCTGTGCTGGCCCTGAGTCCCCCTCCAGTGCTGTCCACACTGCCCCAATCTGGTGTGATGAATACCTGTGATGCCATCATCTGTGATGTCATCACCCATGTCATCCCTCAACACGATGGCATCACCTCTACTCCCCCGCCGGGGACCCCACCTACCGCATGACAGCACCTGAAAATATCCTGTCAATCATCTTGTCGGAGATGGCTGTGGAAGAAGAGGCAGGGCCTGTGAGCCATGCAGAGGGCAGGGCAGGAGGCTGGGGTCGGCATGGGGGGGGTCCCTGGGAAGGGGTCTTGGGGTCCCTGGGGTCCCCGACCGTGGTCGCGGTGCCGGGCCAGGTCACAGTTGCCCAGCAGGAGGTCGCAGTCAGTGTCAAGCTCACGGAAGGTACAGTAGATGACATAGACGTGCTCATAGCAGAAGAGCCCGCTTGTCAGGCTCAGGTCCGCCTCCTCCTCCAGCCGCGCCACAACCTGCGGGGAGCGGGGCTTCAGGATGGGAACGAGGTGGGGCTCAGGACCTCAGGTTGTGGAGGGTGGGTTTTCCTGCTGGGTGGGGAACTAGGGTCTCCTGTCCTAAGGGTGGAATCTTCTTTGGGGGTAGGGTCTCCTGTCCTGGGAGCAGGGACTCCTTTCCCAGGAGGCGGGGTCTCCCATCATGGTAGGTGGTTCCCACTTCCCCCACCTGCAGGAAGTGGCTCCTCCTGAGTTCATTGTAGCTGATGCGCCCGGACCAGGACCTGTTGACAGCGTAGAAGATCCGCTGGATGACCTGCGGGGCAGATGGGGTGGGGCTGGGGCTAGCAGGGGGCGGGACCAGCAGTGGCGTGTTGGCAGTGGCTGGCAGACATCCTCACCTGTGCTCACCTGAGTGTCCTCTCATCTGTCCTCACCTGAGGGCATCCTCTCACCTGAGTCCAGGGCAGCAGTGAGCAGATGGCCCGAGAGACCTGCCCCCATAAGGGGCGGAGCCACAGGGGAGGGAGGAGCTGTCACAGGGGAGGGAGGGAGGAGCTGCCACTCACAGAGGGCGGGAGGAGCCGCCACTCACAAGGAGCTGCCACTCACAGGGTGACTCTGACCAGCACAGTCGAACTTATACCCAGGTGTATTCCTCTTACTGCCCAGGACGGGGACCCAGGCAGGGTCAGGGGTCACTGCAAGGTCAGGGGTTACAGGCAGGGTTTGGGTATCACACTGGGTTTGGGGTCAGGGGTACTCACAGTGGTGATGTAGCAGGAGTGGAACTCAGGTGCCTCCTTGAGGAAGGCGAGGCCAGGGTGTGATTCTACCACATCCTGGGACACAGGAAGTGAGTGACAGGTGTGAGGTGTGTGACACGTGTGAGGTGAAGACATCCCTGTGACAGGTGTGAGGTGCGAACTCCCCTCTGACAGGTGTGACTTGATTGACAAGTATGCGGTATAACCTGTGACTGACAGCTGTGACTGAAAGGTATGAGGTTTGTGATTGATAGGTGTGACGTGTGTACCTCCCACTGGGGGAGGGGCAGGGTGCTCACCTGCAAGAAGGGGACGAAATCCTCCTGTTCCAAGAAGTCGCACCCAGGACTAGCGAGCAGGTGCAGGAACCTGGCCTCCTCATCGTGGCAGTCCTGGAGGATTCTGGAAGCATCAGCATCGTTCGGAGCCCCGTCCCCAGGAGGTGGGAGTGGGGCCTGGGTCCCCTCTGCCAATCACATGTGGGAGGCAGAGCCAGGGTCTCCTCTGGCTACTGCAGCTGGGGAGGCAGGGCCTGCCCAGGACTCCCCCTGGAGGAAGCCCTGCCCTGCCCCACCCCCCTTACACTCTCCTGCCCAGCAGGTGTAGGATCCCCAAGGCCCGCCCCCTGTCCTGCTTACCCTGCATGCCTGGGACTCACCTGCGCCACATGGCCACGAAGGTATGCACAGACACGGATCCCCCGCGGCGGCCCCCAGCCCGGTAGAATAAGGGTCCCTTCCAGTACAAAGGGCAGCCACAGGCCTGGAACACCACCAGGCAGTTACTGAGATTGCCAATGAGGGTGACAGACAGCAACGACTGGAAGGGCCTGGTCACAGGGAATGATCAGACTGTGCCACTCACAGCGACAGACAACAGCGAAAGGAAGGAACCAGATACCAGGGAGAAGAAGGATCCAGACACAGGGAGGGCAGAGGCTGTGTCACTCATGCTGTCAGACAGCAGAGATGTGAAGGAAGGGCCCGGCAACAGAGAGGGCACAGGCAATGCCACTCTGGTCAGCAGTGACAAAAGCGACCCAGCCACAGGGAGGGCACAGGCTGTCCCATCCCCAGGCCAGCACCCACCTTGGTCACATCCAGGTCTCGCAGGCCCCGCCCTTGGCCTCCAGCCCAATCTCCAGCACCACAAGCCCAGCCCCCGCCCCATCCCTGGCACCAACCTTGGCCACATTGCCCATGTCCTCCAGGCGGGCGCGCTGCAGTGGGAGCAGGGCAAACGCAGTCTCCACGGCACGTATGGCCCCATCCTTGCTGACAGGACCCACTGGGCGGCCGCGCGGGAAGTAGAAGGTGGGGATCCCACCCACCGAGAGTCCTGGAGTTCCCTGCAGCTCCGGCCACGTCTGCACCTGTGGGGGATGGATGAAGGGGGCATTAGTGGCCAGCGACCTGCCCCAGCCACCCCTGTTGAGCTGCTGAGCACTGACCATCACTGCCCACGACTGCCCACGGACTGCCACTCCATCCCTAGAACTGTCATTCCTGCCCAGGACCTGTCACTCTAGCCAAGAGCTGTTGGGGCCAAACTGGGACCCGCCAATCCACCTGAGACCAGTCACTCCAGCCTGGGAACTCTCAATCTCATAGCAGGGCCAGAGACCCTAGTCCCACATCAAGCCCCTCCCCTGCTGAGCCTGGGCAGTGAGAACTGGAATGCAGAGCCACCCCGTGCTGTGCTGACCCTGCCTTTGGCTGTCCCTGAGCGTCCAGGGCTATCGGTGGATGGGGCCCTACCTCCACAGAAAGTAGATTTGATGGACAGCTGCCCCACCCCCTCTTGCCAGGAGCCCATTGCTGGCCCCACAGCATCCACCTGGGAACCTGCCACTCCATATCAGACAGGCAATGATTGACAGCTGTCCATAATCCCTGCAACAGGGCCAGGGCCAGAACCCACTTCCAAGAACCACAATCAGTGGGCCCTGCGAAGAGACCCAGCAGTGGTCACGGCCCCCTCTTCATCTTCCTCAGACACATAGTCCTCATCATCCTCATACCACTTAGGCTGACAGACAGCAGGGATAGGAAAGACCCACCCACAGCCTTTGGGATAAACTCCAAACCCAAGAAGGTTAATTGACAGCCCAGATCAGCCTGCGATCAACAGCCAAAGGGACAGCCTAGCCTAGCCCTCAGCCCACAGGCTGCACAGAGCAGCTGACCCCAACACCCTGGCTATCCATGGCTGGGCCTAGGATACCTGCGTTTGGCCAGAGACCCCAGAAACCCATCTAGGGGAGGGGCAGAGGCGGGGCTGGAAGTAGCAGGTAAACCCCTGCTCCATGACAGCTCAGTGTCTGCTGCTTTCCATGAGCCTATGATCAGTGACAGGTCAGCGCCTCCATTCCCTTCCCATGATTCCCTGCTCCATGAGTGACAGCTCAGCATCCCTTCCCATGATTCCCTGCTCCATGAGTGACAACTCAGCATCTCTGCTTCCTTCTCATGAGTCCCCACAGCCAACCCTGATATGAGTGACATCTGTCCATCACCAGGCACTCCAGCTTTCAAAAACAAAAAAAAAATCACTTCTTAGCAAGGATGGCTCTTTTAAGGAATTAAAAAATCTCCAGGGACCCACAACTTGGGATAGAACCTCCTCTTTTAGGGGTTAAGGTTCTGGCGCAGGGGCGAAGCAACTGTTAAACAGTGCCCCTTGCTGTAGAACCGCCCCCCCACACACCCGAAGGAAAACACTGGGGTCTGGCCCCGGTGAACTCAGGGAACCTCTCTTCCTCCAAGCCCCTCACCAGCCCACAGCCACGGGCCACACCCAACACAACACGCCACGCGCACGGGAATTCGCTCCACGGATGAAGCCCCTGTCCGCCCCCACCCCCGACTTAGGCTCCTGCCACCCCCTCCTCTCTACCACCCAATGTGGCCAACGCCCAAAATGGTCCTGCAGCCTCCAAAGCAGTATTGGTTCTCGGGGTTACTTCTCAGAGAGGCCACGCCAGTCCACCCAACATAAACAGGCCACGCTCATCCGTGAAGGCCAGGCTCACTCTCCCACAGAGCCCGCTCACGCCCCTCAAAGGCCACGCCCACCTGATCAGGGCACACCCTCCTCTTAGGCCTTACCTCCGCGCAGCCGCGCCCGCCTCTGCGAACAGCGGGTCTGCGGGTTCTGCGGCTGTGAGGTTCGGGCCGGGGTCCAGGGGCGGCAGGAGCGGCAGGGGGTCCGGGTCCTCCCGGGGCGGGCGCAGGCATCGCGGCATCCGCGGAGACGGCCACGTTGGGAGCGCCTTGAGGGGCCTGGACTGCGCGCAGGCACTCGTGGAGCAGCCGCTGCGTTGCGTCCTCGCTCAGCCACCGCAGGAAGAGCTCGTCCACCTTCATTTTCAGCACGGGCTGGAGCGTCTTACCCGGCGACATGACGGCCGCCGCCGTTCTTCCCTCACAAAACCAAGGACCGCGCGCTCCGAACTCGCGGCTGCCCCGAACCAGCGGCGACGCGCGTCACGGCTTCCACTTGCCTGACGTCACAGGGCCGCGACGCTTTTTTTTTCCCTTCCTGTGTCTCACTTCTTAGCCCCATTTGCCATTACTTGAAGCTAACGGGAATGTCCCGGAGGCTTAGGAAGCGACCGGCATCCCCAGCTCTCATGGCTTTTTGGGATACCTGAGGTGTTCTGAGGGGGTGCCGCAGGAGCGTGCACAGTACGTCCAGGAAGGACGCTGTTGTGGGGTTGCGCGTGCGCAGAACGTGCTGCTGAAGCAAGGCTCCGAAGGGAAACCGGGCTGCTCGTTGGCGCATGCGCGATGCGATCCGCTGAGAAGGGGAACACCTGGGCGAGAGCGGGCATAGGAGTGAGCATGCGCGATGTGCAGCTAGGCTAGCGCGCAGGATTTGAAAGACTATGGTTAGTTGCATGCGCAGTGTGTGTCCCCGGGACTGCGCCAGTAAGGCGGCTTATGTGTAGTAGGATTTCAAACTACTTGGATTTTAAAATGAATTGGGGTCCACTAAAGACCTGGCCCAGCAGTGAGTGACGATGAAACCTTGGGCCCGGCATTGGAAGTCAGGGCCGCCGGCGGAGACCCCTAGATCCGAGCCCGGGGAGTCTGTTAAAGCTTGGAGCTGGCGGGCAGAGTCCCAGAGCGCGCCCCTGCAGCGTGGGCGAAGCGGGCGGGTGCCGAGTTCGCGCCGCCTAGTGATTGACAGCGCGGCGAATCCGCCCACGCGCTTCCGGATTAAGCTCTGCTCCTCCCTGGGACTTTTTGAAAAAAAATTAAAAAAAAAAAATACTCTTGAAAACTGCCACACGAATCCTTGTCAATCAGGGATTTTTGCTGCGGCTTTCTGGGATGAGAAACGGGGAAGAGGAGGGAGAGAAGGAAGGCAGGTACCCTCGTGGATTTCCGCTGCCGGCTGCAGGTGTCCCAGAAGGCAAAGGAGAGCAGCTGGATTTGCACGTAGTTTATTTCAGGCATGTTGTGCAGTCATTTGCGTATAAACTTATTTTTGAATGCATTTTTTGGATTCACTGTTTGCTTACAGTTTGATGTGTTGATGCATTTTTTGGACACAGTATTTGCATATAATTTGATGTTTTTATATAATTTAATTTTTGGATGCATTTTTTGCAGGCAATATTTCCATATGATTTGAATTTTGCATGCATTTTTGAATACAAATTTTATATATAGTTAATTGTATGCATCTGGGGACATATTTGCATATATTTTGACTTTTTGTATACAGAATTTGCATGTTCTATTTTTTCCATACATGATTTGTATATAATTTGATTTTTTATATGATTTGATTGTTAGGTGTATCGTTGATTAAGTATTTGCATCTAATTTGAATTTTTGATACTTTTTTCAAAGGTAGTATGTGATTTTTTGGACATAATATTTGCATGTAGTTGGTTTTTCATATAGGATTTGCATATACTTTTTTGCATACGTTATTCACATATAGTTTGGGTTTTTACCTGCATGATTTGCATATAGTTTGATATTAATGTGTTTTGAATTAGGATTTGCATATGGTTTGAATTTTGCATACAGTATTTATATATACTTTAATTTTTTAGAGAAAAAATTATTTTCTTGAATAATTTTTTGTCTACAGCTGATTTTTGAGGAGGGACCCAGTCTGCTCCCCAGGGCTCAACACTTGCCAATCAAAACACAAAGCTTCCAGAAAAATTCAGTGTGTATCCAGTGGCTCTGGGTAAACAAATCCATGCAATAAATTAAAATGAAGTGAAATAAATAAATACGATGAAAGGGAATACATGAAATTAAATGAAATGAAGTAAATGCAATAAAATGAAGTAAAAAGAAATGGAATAAAACAAAATAAATGTATTGAGGTAAATTAATTAAATGAAATTCAGTAAAATAAAATAAAATGAGTTAAAACAACATAAATGGGGGCAGGTGCTGTGGCGCAGCAGGTTAAAGCCCCAACCTGCAGTGCCAGCATCCCATATGGGCGCCTGTTCCAGGCTGGCTGCTCCTCTTCCAGTCCAACTCTCTGCTATGACCTGGGAAAGCAGTGGAAGATGGCCCAAGTCCTTGGGCCCCTGCACCTACGAGGGAGACCCAGAAGAATCTCCTGGCTGCTGGCTTCAGATCAGCTCAGCTCTGGCCCATTGCTGTCATTTAGGGAGTGAACCAGTGGATAGAAGACTTCTCTCTCTCTCTCTGATTCTACCTCTCAAACAAATAAATCTTTAAATATTTATGTATAAATAAAATTATATAAATGAAATACAATGAGATAAAAATAGAATAAAATAAATACAATAAGTTATAAATAATGCAATAAATGAATAAAATGGTATATAACATAATAAAGTTGAATAAATGAAATAAAATAAGAAAATTATAAAATGGTATAAAAGGAAATAAATGAGATAGAATGAAATGAAATCAGATTAAATGAGATATAATTAAATAAAATTAAATGAAGTAAATACAATATAAATGGAATAAAATAAATTTAAGATAAAAAAGAAATGAAATAAGATAAAAAATAAATTAAGATAATTAGAATATGTGCTGGCGCCGTGGCTCACTTGGTTAATCCTCCACCTGCGGCGCCAGCATCCCATATGGGTGCTGGGTTCTAGTCCTGGTTGCTCCTTTACCAGTCCAACTCTCTGTTGTGGCCTGGGAAGGCAGTGGAGATGGCCCAAGTGCTTGGGCCCCCGCACCCGCATGGGAGACCAGGAGGAAGCACCTGGCTCCTGGCTTTGGATCGGCGCAGCACGCCGGCTGTGGTGGCCATTTGGGGAGTGAACCAATGGAAGACCTTTCTCTCTGTCTTTCACTGTCTAACTCTGCCTGTCAAATAAAAAATTTAAAAAGAATAATGTAAATAAAAATAAAGTGACAGGTGCCTGTCAGAAGTGATTGACACATGGCTGAGAAGCTCTCAATCACAGGTTCACTTGCTTGGACTTCTAGGGGAGTGCAGGGGGCCCCCCTGCAAGGACATTCCCATGGCACCCTCCCTGGAGAGGCCTCCTCACCTGGGTGAGTGCAAGAGGTGGGGCCAGGTGGGGAAGCTCCGCCCACTGCTCCCAGGAGGGCCGGCCACAGCCAGTACTGCCCAGAGGGTTGGGTGCTGTGACATCATGGGATGTCAGTTTATTTTATGTCATTGTTTATGACTTCATGGTATTTTATTTCATTTGGATTAAATCATGGGATGGCATTTTATGTCATTCTTATGACATGGATGATATTTTATATGTCGGGATAGAATGGTATTTTAGTTTTTATAATATGGTATTTTATTTTTTATGATGTTATGGTCTGATATTACATGCTATTTTATTTTTTATTATGGGATGGGATGCTATTTTAGTTTTTATGATCTTATGCCATGGCATTTTCTTTCATGTTATTTTTTATTTTATACTATGTTATGCTATGTTATTTTATTGTATTTTATTTTTTATTATGTTGTGGAATGGTATTTTGTTTTATTTTCTATCATACTATGTTCTGGTATATTATTTTATTTCCTTTTTTATTTCATTATTTCATTTCATGTTATATTATGCTATGCTATATGATTTCCTTTTACTTTATTTTATTTCACTTTTATTAAGTTATGTGGTTATTCTATTTCATTGCGTTTCATTTTTGTTGTATTTTATGTTATTTTTATGATGTCATGGGATGGCATTTTTAATCATATTGTTTATGACATGGGATGGCATTTTATGTCATTGCTTATGATGTCGTGGGATGACATTTTTTATTTTATTTTTATGCCATGGGATGGTTTTAATTTTTATTATGTTACACTATGGCATTGTATTTCATGTTATTTTTATTATGTCATAGGAAGATATTTTGGCTTATGTCATTTTATTATAGTATAGGATAACATGTCATTCTTTATAACATGGAATGGCATTTAGGTCATTGTTTATGATGTCACATGATGATATTTTATTCTATTTTATTTTATTTTTTAAGATTTATTTATTTGAAAGAGTTACACAGAGAGAGGAGAGGCAGAGAAAGAGAAAGGTCTTCCATCTGATGGTTCACTCCCCAATTGGCCGCAACAACCGGACCTACGCCAATCCGAAGCCAGGAGCCAGGGGCTTCTTCCCAGTCTCCCACGTGGGTGCAGGGGCCCAAGGACTTGGGCCATCTTCTACTGCTATCCCGGGCCATAGCAGAGAGCTGGACAGGAAGTGGAGCAGCCGGGTCTCGAACCAGCGCCCATATGGGATGCCGGCACTTCAGGCCGGGGCATTAACCCATTGCACCACAGTGCCGGCCCTGATGTTTTATTTTATGTCATTGTTTATAACACCCTGGGATGGCATTTTATCTTCTTTCCTTTTCATGATGTTATGAGATACCATTTTATGTCATTCTTTATGCTGTCATAAGAAGGCACTTGGAGGGCCAGCACTATGATGCAGTAGATAAAGCTGCTGGCTGCAGTGCTGGCATCCCATATGGGTACAGGTTGGAGTCCCAGCTGCTCCTCTTCCAATCCAGCTCTCTGCTATGGCCCAGGAAAGCAGTGGAAGATGGCCCAAAGAGTTGCACCCAAATGGGAGACCCAGTAGAAACTCCTGGCTCCTGGCTTCAGATTGGGCCAACTTCTGCCATTGTTGCCATTTGGGAAGTGAGCCAATGGGTAGAAGACATCTCGTGCTCTCTCTATCTAGCTCTGCCATTCAAATAAATAAATTAAAAAAAAAAAAAAGGCATTTTGGCTGACGCTGCGGCTCACTAGGCTAATCCTCTGCCTGCGGTGCCAACACCCGGGGTTCTAGTCCCAGTTGGGGCGCCAGATTCTGTCCTGGTTGCTCCTCTTCCAGTCCAGCTCTCTGCTGTGGCCCCGAGAAGGCAGTGGAGGATGGCCCAAGTGCTTGGGCCCTGCACCCGCATGGGAGACCAGGAGGAAGCACCTGGTTCCTGGCTTCAGATCGGCACAGCACACCGGCCATAGCGGCCATTCGTGGGGTGAACCAACTGAAAAAAGGAAGACCTTTCTCTCTGTCTCTCTCTCTCACTGTCTAACTCTGCTTGTGAAAAAAAAAGGCATTATGTTGTATGTGTTATGTCATGCTATGGCATGTGTGTTTCTCTGTGCACGTATGTGAGACCCTCCTTCCTACATCTGGTATCCTGGGTTGTTAAGGCCTCTGATGGGTTGTGTCGGGACCCCTGCTTCTCCTGTTCATGATATCTGTGGTTGGCCCCTGCATACTCAATGCCATTACCTGTTTTATTAACTCGCATATTGGCAAAGTCAAGATCCAACTACTCAGAGTCCTGACCCCCAGGGACCAGCCCCTAGAAGATGAAGTGGATTTCTTAGAGAGTGAGCAGGTACCCCGTCTGCCTGCTAGGGCAGGTCTTACCTTGTCTGATGTTGTCAAGGTCCAATCATTCCAAGTCTCCTTGAGTCTGGGTTGGTGGTAGTGGCTGGTGGCTGGGACAGCAGAGCTCCCCACTCTGGAGGACTCCTCCCCAACTGTCTGTCCTGCAGGAGTCACTGTCACATGGTCAGCAAGGCAGGAACTGGTAAATCACAACTTGAAGGCCATTTCAGGAGGCACACACTGTCTTACCTTAGACATGGGACTAGACTTTTATGGCAGGTGGAGAAAGTGTTTCCACTATCAGCATTGGGCTGCTCAGACCCAGCTGGCCCTCTGATAACAAGCAGGAGGGAGGCTAGCATTCCCTCGAACTGGCTCCTTAATGGCAAACAGGAGGGGGTCTGTTAGGGACATGTCACATACACCCCCATTTCCTGCCTTTAGCTGAGACCCTTGGTGCTGAACCAGACCCTTGCAGACTCCTTGCAAAGCCAATGGTAAAACAGATAAGAAGAAAGTTCCTTGAGGCTTCAAAGAGCCCCCTACTCCCCCTCAGTGGCAAATCCCCTCCTTGACCAGATAAAAACTGAGTTGTAAATGCACCCTTAGTGCAGTCTCTTCCCAAAAACAGACTGTCGCCAACCTCTTTGCTTCAAATAAAGCAACCTCTCTCTGTTGAGGTTGGTGTCTGTCTCCTTTATCCGTCTCCATTCTGGGGGTATGAAAGGCCAGAACCCCGAGCTATTCCAAACCTAACACTTGAAGGCCTGTACAGGGAATGGGTCTTTTCATGTCTTAACCCCCCAGCTTCTTCCAAACTTTTCTCTATCCTAGAGTCAACTTCCTTTTACTTTCATTTCTGACTTGCTTGGGCCTAACCTTTGGCCTCTCTCCTCACCCTTCTACACCACCCTCCGGAGGCATTCAGGAGCACTGCTTCCTGCTGAGCTCACTGGTGTAAGCCTGTCCCTTAGACTTTCATCTTCTCCCCCTTCTTTTCCTATTAAGCCAACCTCCAGAGCAGGGGCTTCTTGCCATTTGACCAAGTTACATGCAGACACTGGCCTCAGCCCCTTGTGTGGTAAGGTAAGACTCTTCCATCTGGACATATTCTGGAGCTACCCTAGGATATTGTTTTCCAGGTCCAGCCCCAGATCCCCTGCCCTTAGGCTCCAGCTTTGGTTGCACCCACCGGCGAACAAGAGGCCGCCTAAGTTCACTGCTGCGTGCACTCTGCCTACTGGCTCCAGCTTCGGCCTGATCCACGGCAAACAAGGAAACTTACAACTTCACTGCAGCGTCTCCATCTCCGTTCCTGCAGTCTTCTGTGTCAAGTGGGGACTTGGCCTAGAGGTAGGAATCCTGTCTCTGCCTAACACCATGGGGCCTGAAATTTCAGTTCCAAAAGAATCGGCCTTGGCCTGCATGTTAAAAAATCTTAAGCCTCCGACATTCACAGACCTTCAGGCTTGCAAAATGACATGTTCTTGCCCACAAATTTGGCCTCAATACAAATTGGATAACCGTGACCACAGGCCAGAATTTGGCACCATTAACCAAAACTTCCTTTATTCATGGACCTATTAACATCCTCACATGGAATGGCAAGTATTCTGAGCTTCCCTCCTCCCTCTCTTCTCCCACTCCCCCTTGCTGCCAAGCTTTTGGAACCAGTTTCTCCCTCCATGCCTACAGGCCTTCTTCACCCTTCACAACCTTCACAGTCTTTATGTAAGGACTGTTCTTCCTATGTACTCCTCCTCTGTTCCCCCTCTTATCCTCCCAGACCCACCTCAAAATCCAAAGCCAGTTCCTCACCCCTTGATCCAGATGCATTTGATCCAGCTAAAGAGCCCCCTCCTTACCAACCCCCACCCCCTCACTGCCCAAACCACTCAGCTCCCCTGTGACAACCCCCTCCTCGACCTCCCAGCCTCTCCTGGAAGCTCCCTCCCAAACTCCCTCCACCTCCTCTGCTAGCACTTCTATTATTATAGAGGATTCTCTGACCACCCTCCTCCCCGACCCCGAGGCCAAACAGACTCATCTGTCTTCTCTCTCCCTTCTCTGGTTTCCCTTTGCCAACCACATTAGCTGGCTCCACCCATTATCCTCCCTGTGCCCCCCAGCAGAGCCCCTTATATGTTCCCCTCCCTGGTCTCACTGGACCCCTCCCCTCACTCAGTCTCAGAGCCACAGGCAATACATATGTTCCCCCTAAGGGAAGTGGCAGGGATAGAAGGACCCAACAGGGTCCAAGTCCTCTTCTGTTTGTCCAACATGGGCAAGATTGAGGAAAAGCTAGGCTCCTTTTCAGAAAATCCAGCTAAATTTAAGAATGTTTCCTCTGCCTTGCCCAAGTGTACCTTTTAACCTGGGGAGATGTCTATTATGTGTTAACCTCTACACTTATGGTTGATAAAAAGGAGCATATCTGGCCCTCAGTTCAGGCTCATGTGGACCACCTGTGTAAAAAAGACCCCTCACTATCTCCAGTGGCAGACACTGCTCTCCCAGACTGGACGTATCAACCTGGAGAGTCAGGCACACAGACTTAATCATATGGTAACCTGTCTCCTGGAAGGAATGCAGAAAAATACTCATGCCTATGTGAACTATGATAGGGTCAGGAGGATTACGCTGTGCCTGACAAAAATCCAGGCCTTGTCTCACTGAAGCAGTCCAAAAAATCTGCAAATCTAGATGTAACCGCCCTAGCCAGAACTCTGTATCTTCATGTCCAGTTCATTAGCCAGTTGGTACCTGATACCAGATGAAAACTCCGACAACTAGAAAAAGGGCCCGTAACCCCCCCAAAAGGAGCTCCTGGATGTGGCCTTTAAGGTATATAACAACCGAGATGATGAGGCCAAAAGAGAAAAAGACTGGGACAGAAATGCTAAATAAATATACACCGGTCTCAGCCTTCTGAAACCAGAATCCGTCTGGCCCCAACACTCTAACACCCAAAATAGGACCCCTCCTGTTCCCTGCTTTCAATGCAACTAGGCTGGACATTGGGCAAAAGCATGTCCTAACCCAAGGCCCCCAACAAAAGCATGCCCCACTTGTGGCCAATGGGACTGTCCCCAGGGATGCCCTAGTGCCCCTGGTGACCTCCCCGACCCTGACTCCTGCCAGCGCAACTGTTCCAATGAGGGGGCCTGGGTTCTTCAACCCTGGTTGGAGTTTCTGACTCATCCAAAGAACTCTGGGTGGTTGGGATGGTGGCCAGACACATTGTTTCTTTTGTCCTGGACACTGAGGCCTCTTTCTCTCTGTTGAAAACATTTTTAGGCCATACTCTGGACCCCAACATCTCCATTAAAGGAGTTTCAGACATCCCCATCAAAGCAAGAATCACTCCACTCCTTCCCTGCACCTTTGGCTCCCTTACTCTGGCCCATGCCTTCCTTGTGATGCCACAATGTCCCATGCCCTTAATGGGCAGAGACCTTCTCTCCAAGCTAAAGGTCTGGGTCTTCATACCACCCCTAAACTACACCTCCATCTTTCGTCTGCAGCTCCACCCCTCCAATTGTCCTCAGATCCCTATCTCTCCCTCCCCTCTGCCTGATGCCCTGTTCCTTCCCCTCTGCGGCAGCCAAAACTGCCTCTCTCTTCCTGAACCCTCCTCCTTCATTCCACCACTCTCTCCTCCTGAGTACAAAGAAAATACTGTAAAGGCTAGCCAAATGTTATCACCCCAAAAGCCCTGCACCTGGGACATTCCAAACTGCTAAGACGATGTACTGCAGATTTTACCAAGCAGAATTTCTCTCATCCTCCCCTCACCTAATCAGGGTCTTTGTGGTACTCTGCACCTCCCCCAACAAGTAGCTCTGCTCTGCAAGTTTGACTTCAAACCCCAAGCCCACCCCCACCCCCTGGGCAGGCTCAGCTCCAGTCTACTCTAACTAGCTGTCTCTTCTTATTCGGCTCCCCAACCCTGCACCAAAAGGGCTGTCAAGTCCATTGTAAAGTCCTGGAAGGGATTTTAGGGATTCTATACCCATGAAGCCCTCTACCCAGCAATGTTCCACACAGAGAATAGTAAATAAGTAAATAAAAATAAAGGTCCCCCTCCCAAGGCAACATTACCCTGAGAGATATCTCTTCCAACCTTCGTAAAATAATCAAGACTACTGGCCCTTCAAACCAACAGGCTCACCAGGTTAATTAGTAAGAAAGGTTATAAAGTATGTTATTAGTAAGAAAGGTTAAGATAGAGAATTTTGAATGAAGGACAAGGCTTGTAAGAATTTATCCCAGCCGGCGCTGTGGCTCACTAGGCTAATCCTCCACCTTGCGGCACCGGCACACCGGGTTCTAGTCCCGGTCGGGGCACTGGATTCTGTCCCGGTTGCCCCTCTTCCAGGCCAGCTCTCTGCTGTGGCCAGGGAGTGCAGTGGAGGATGGCCCAAGTACTTGGGCCCTGCACCCCATGGGAGACCAGGATAAGTACCTGGCTCCTGCCATCGGATCAGCGCGGTGCGCTGGCCGCAGCGCGCCGGCCGCGGCGGCCATTGGAAGGTGAACCAATGGCAAAGGAAGACCTTTCTCTCTGTCTCTCTCTCTCTCTCTCACTGTCCACTCTGCCTGTCAAAAAAAAAAAAAAAAAAAAAAAAGAGTTTATCCCAAGTGCTAGATTATTCTAGACCGGAATGAAAAGCTAAAAGCTAAGAAGGTGTAAGCAAGTTGCAGATGTGAGTCATAGAAGGCTATAAAAATTTTTTTAAATACAAAAGCTTTCAATCTATTTCATTAACATACAATTAAAATCTCCTCCCATTACTTGCTGTCTGCCTGTCAATGAAAAACTCACTCCTCCTCTTGACAGAACCTTTTCTAGGTCCTCTAATAACCATCTGTCCTTTGTTTTAAAACCCTGTTTGTCAGATCTATCTCCTCCAGACTTAACAATGAGATTTTAGATGGCCATGCACATGAAACCTCTAATGGAGACAGTTTTTGTGAGCTAGAGTGCACCCCCCCACCCCGAGAAGCCACCTTCTGCCTGAACCCTGTCTTGACCATGGGTCCCTACCTCCTCCTACATATTCACTCACCCCCAAGACTTGTGAGCATTAGACTTTTCTTTGTCTTCCTTCTTCCAGGATCCAGGTCCTACATGCCTTTACCAACCATATCCTTCTCCCCTTTCTAAACTCTGCAACACTCCCCCCCTCCATACCCAAGATTCACAAGTTAAAACACACAATTGCTTGTGAGATCTTAGATCTCACCCTAAAACCCTTTGCCCATATCATGCATGAGCCTCTCAATGATTCCCCATAGCCCATACTGGTTCATCAATGTCAGTTCCTAAAAATACCACCCTATGTGGCAGGATATGCAATTATACAAGGAAAGAACTCTAATCCCTCTAAACACATCCAATTAGAGACGCAACACCTCCACCTAAAACTGCTTCCCAACAGGAAGAGCCTATTGCACTCTCCCGAGCTCTCACACTAACAAAGGATAAACAGGTAAACATCCACACTAAAGTTTGCCTATAACATTCTTCATTCTAATATCCTTATCTGGAGAGAATATGGCCTTTTCACTCAGACAGGCACTCCTGTAGTCAATGCTTCTCACATTAAAGCTCTTCTTGCTGCAGCCCTCCTACCCAAACAAACTGCTGTACTCCACCATCGGGGTCACCAAAGAGATAAATATCCCTTGACCACTTTATATCATGTCACAGACCAAGTGGTGAAGCATATTGCCCTCACTCACCCTTTGTCCAGCTCCCAAAGCTCTCTACTTGCCCTACTGACTACAACCTCAAAACCATCCCAACACCCATTTAACTTTTCTGTTCCCCAAATCCTCTCATATATATACTCTCTTTTTCATCCCTCTACTCAAATCTTACAGCAATCTGTAAAGACTCACCTGTCCCTACATCCCCTAGACCAATAATTTCTAGAAAACCTCATTAAAACCTGCCCCATCTGCCAATAGACAAATCCTAGCACCAATCTTTCACCTCCAAAGTTCCCCACTCACCAAACGCAGGGTTCCCTCCCTGCCATGGGCTTCACTCACATGCCACCTGTACATAGAGTTAAATATCTCCTTGTATTGGTAGACACCTTCTCAGGGTGGATGGAGGCATTCCCCCCAACTAAGAAAAAATGAGCCCCCATGGTTGTCCACCTCCTCCTAATGGAAATTATACCACTTTTTGGCGTACCCTTCTCCCTCCAATCAGACAACAGGTCTGAATTCACCTCCCAGGTGTCTCAACAAGTCACTCAGTGTTTACCCATCCCTTGGAAATTTCATATTGCTTATAGGCCTTGATCATCAGGAAAGGTTGAGAGGACTTGCAGACGCTTGAAAGAAACCTTTACCAAACTCTCCATCGAGCTCAATTTAGATTGGACAAAACTTCTACCTTTAGCCCTCCCAAAGCTTAGAGCTCTGCCAAAGAAACCTGTATAGCTCAGTCCCTTTCAAGTCATGTTCGGCAGACACATTGCTATCCTGGGGCTGAGGTTTTCCCCTCCACACTTCCTTCCAACTCACTCTATCCCCTCCTTTCAGCTCTCAAACCATTTTACATACATACTAACCAGGCCTGGAAGGCTTCCCTGAGGCCCCCCTGCCGGTCTTGGCTATAAGAGAGGCCCTTCCCACAACAATGCCAATCCACTCCAGATATATGGCCTCCCCCACTGGTCTCACCACACTCAAACTAACTAAATTATGCAGCATTATTTTAGCAGAACCTGTCTCACAGCCACCTTTGACTAATGGCCTTTAACCTGCCCCAACTCTGTATCTTCCTCATAGCCCTTCAGTCGGATCTCTGGGTGACTTCACCTCAAATCTCCTCATTGAACAACCTATGGCCACTGGTTGAGGATCTTGGTCTCCAGGGAATGTTCACTGACTTCATTCCAGAGTAAATCGACTTCTTCACTCCCACTTTATTCTTATTATTGGCCCCAGGTGGTCTCAGTGACTTCACTCCTATGCAAATATCTGATTTTCTTTCTTTCTTTTTTTTTTTTTTTTATTTGACAGAGTTAGACAGTGAGAGAGAGAGATGGAGAGAAAGGTCTTCCTTCCTCTGGTTCACTCCCCAGATGGCCGCTATGGCCGGAGCTACGCCGATCAGAAGCCAGGAGCCAGGTGCTTCCTCCTGGTCTCCCATGCGGGTGCAGGGCCCAAGCACTTGGGCCATCTTCCACTGCCTTCCTGGGCCACAGCAGAGAGCTGGACTGGCAAAGGAGCAACCGGGTCTAGAACCCGGCACCCATATGAGATGCTGATGCCGCAGGCGGAGGATTAACCAAGTGAGCCACGGCGCCAGCCTCCCTGATTTTCTTTCTGTTTAAATGCATTGTCACCCTTTGCTGCTGTCTTCAGTCACAGTCCTTGCCCTTATTGTTGCTGTAGGATTAGTGGCAGTCACGCCTACTGATTGGACCTATGTTGAAAATTTCTCTCAGCACTTCTTAAACCAATTGGTCCAACAAATAGATTCTGACTTTGAAAGCCTCCACCAGGCATCCACTGCCTTACTAGAACAAATAAACTCCCTGGCATCCATGGTCCTGCAAAACAGGAGAGCACTAGATCTCCTGACAGCACAACAGGGCGGAACCTGTCTTTTCTGGGAGAAGAGTGCTGTTGTTATGTCAACCAGTCTGGAGTGGTAACTGACTCCCTAGACAAGATCAAAAATAGACTACTGGAACAGGCACAGGCTCAAAACCAACAAAACATGGGGAGGACTGCTACACTGGGAGAGTGGGCATGGCTAGCTCCTCTTCTCGGGCCCATCACAGTCATCCTTATGGCCTTGCTATTCAGACCATGCCTATTTAATTTATTGCAAAATTTCTTAAAGAATAGCATCAAAGCTCTCTCAAGTCCAGATTAAAACCATGATGCTATTCTACCACCTCAATCAAGGATACCAGACCCTTCCCTCAAAACCCAAAGAGGACTCTGGGCTCTACAGGCAAACCCCAGTATCCACAGGGCCCTTTCTCTGCAGGAAGTAGCCAGATGAAATCAACACCCCTTTTCCTTTTTGCCTCTAGGGGCTGGAATAAAGGACATGTCACCTTTCTTCCTCCTCCCTGCCGCCCCCTCCCACCCCCAGTCCTATTTCTTCCTTTTAGCTGAGACCCTTGCTGCTGAACCAGACCCTTCCAGATTCGTTGCAAAGCAAATGGCAAAACAGATAAGCTGCACAGGGCAGCTATGAAACAGATAAGAGGAAAGTTCCACTACTTCCCCCCTACCCCCCTCCCAGCTGCCTCTACCCACCCTCCCCAGTGGCAAACCCCCTCCCTGGCCGGATAAAAACTGAGCTCTAAACACCCCCTTTGTGCAGTCTCTTTGCAAAAACATAGTGTCACCAACCTCTTTGCTTCAGATAATGCAACCTATCTCTGTTGAGGTCAGTCTCATCTTCCTTTTTCCGTTTTCCTTTCTGGGGGTATGAAAGGCCAGAACCCCAAGCTATTGCAAACCTAACAATTTGTAATACTAGCTGCAATTTCTGAAAAGACTCTGAATTCAGAGCTGGAATTTCTGCAAGCAACTCAGCTCAGGGCTGGAATTTCTTCAAAGAATCTGATCTCAGAGCTACAATTTTTTGCAAAGAATCTGAAGTCAAAGCTGCAAACCAGCTGAGCTCAAGGTTGCACCAACAAATCGTTTTAGCAATCAATAAACCTTGAATAATTTGTGTGTGCGCACCCAGCTACCTCTGCTCCTCCTCTCCAAGGCCTCAGCGATAGAGGGGGGAATGGGAGGGGTGCACGTCGCCCCACCCTCACCCCAGTACAGAGCCTGCTGCCCCACCCCCATCATACCCTGCTGTGTCCCTCAATCATCACAGCCACCTTTCAGCTCCCTCTGGGCCTCCTGCTCTTGACAGCACTGTGAGGGGGACTTGGATCAAAGCGAGACCGGGGCTTCGGGTTGGACTTTGTAGCAGCAGGTACATGTATTGTTGTGGGGTGCACAGATTAAAAACTCAGGGAGACTTTTGAGGTAAAATTAGGAGTCTATTAGACAGCTGGTGACTGCCTTCTCACAGAGTAAGTCTGGAGAAGACAGCCCCAAGTTGTAGTTGTGGGTATTTTTAAAGGAGAAACCACATTTTGGTGGCCTTGGCTCTTATCAAGCAAGCAAGCAGAAGTACAGAAGCCAGAAATATGCCAGTTACAGGGTTACAGCCAGATGAGCAGACTGATATCTATAACTTGTTGTTCTCAAAGGAACAGTCCTTGCTCTGAAGCAGCAAAGCAAGATCCCCTATAATCACCAGGGCATGCTATGTCCAGAGGAACGGTGTCACAGCATCCCCCCAGGGCCTGTCTGTCAAAACAATGATGCTGGTGTAGTGGATGGCGGAAGGTGTGGAGGCTGGGCTGGCAGCTTGGGGAGTGTTGCAAAGGGGCTAGGTTGCTGTGGTTTGAATGCAGCTCCCTGTTCATGCACACCTGGGGAGACCTGGATGGAGCTCCTGGCTGCAGATCCCTGCTCATGCACACCTACATCCCCCTTACCCAGCTGTCATTCTTCACTTTTTTTTTTTTTTTTTTTTTTTTTTTTTTTTTTTTGCAGGGGACCAGTCACTCAGAATGACTAAGACAAGGCTATGCATATCACACAGTGCTGCTGGTGGGGGAGCTGCTAGCTCTGGCTGCTCCCAAGATCCCGGCTACTTTGCACATGTCAGTCACTCAGCTCTGGATCACCTGCACCAGAGTTCCATTCTGGACCCCCACGTGGGTGCAGCAGGTGCACAAGGACCTCATTCAAGGTACAGGTGCTGCTGGCACGCGGGGAGCCATGTAGACCAGGCCTGGTCCACACTGAACTGGGGAAAAAATTCCCCTGCTCTTGGGGTCCCCAGTTGACAGGCATGGGCATGCTTGGGCCTCATATGGGCAGCAGTGTGGGGATTGCAGTAAGGAAAGGGCGTGGCTGGATGGCTGCTATGGGAAGAAGCATCCATTGCGGAGGTAGCCATGTTTTGGCAGTCAGCTGAGTGGAGATTGTGGGGTGATCACGTGATCAGAACATGGCTCATGCATGGTGAGGGTCAGATGCCCTAGCTGTCCATCGCTCAGAGTCACTGTCCATCACTCAGAGTCCCTGTCCTCATTTTTAGAAGCAGATGGTGGGTAATTTGGCCGAGGGATGCACCTGGGATATAGATAGATGGACAGGATAAGATGTGGATGTGGATCTGAAACCAACCTGTTAATTAATATTTCTTTTTAAAGATTTATTTATTTATTTGAAAGGAAGAGTTACAGAGAGGCAGAGAGAGCAGAAGTCTTCCATTCTCTGGCTCACTTCCCAAATGGCTGCAATGGCTGGAGCTGAGCCAATCTGAAGCCAGGAGCCAGGATCTTCCTCACACCCAGGTGTAGGGGCCCAAACACTTGGGCATCTTGTACTGCTTTCTCAGGCCAAAGCAGAGAACTGGATCAGAAGTGGAGCAGCCAGGTTTTGAACCGGCGCCCATATGGGATGTTGGCATTGCAGGAAGCAGCTTTATCCACTATGCCACAGCACTGGCCCCTATTAATATTTCTGAAATTAATAAGCTGTGTGGGTTCTTGCACAAATAGACCAGGCAGCATGGTAAGTTTTTAAGCTTTTTATTTAGTGAGAGAAATGCATGGGAGAGTGAGGACTTTAATCTAAGCAAGAAAGAAAAGCCAGGAAATTAAGTCCATACTGGGCAGAGAGCAGGCCAAGAGCCATGTGCAGTGAGCATTTGGTTATGAGCAGCCACAAGTAGCTTAGTATGAGCAGCAAAGTGAAGGCGAAGAGAGAGCGACTTTGTGATTTTCCAGGCCTTTTACACTTCCAAAGGGGAGTGGTTACCTAGTTTGATTGGTAGGTGGGCATACGGGTTAGGTCAGGTAGGGAGATGAGATCACACAGGGGTGTGGTGGAGGCATGGTCTTCCAGCTCACAAACCTAATAAATTTATCTTATCTGCCTGTCTATATCAGATCAATGGACAGGTGATTGATAGATGTCAATGTGGATTGATGAACAAGGGATTGATAGATGGATAGATGGGTGGATGGATGGATGGGTGCGTGGGTCATTGGATGAGTGGATGATATATAAATGGATGGGTGATGAATGGATGGATAGATGGATATATGGGTGGATGGGTGGACAGATCGACATGTAAGTGAACATATGGATTGATCCATGGGCAGATGGATCAATAGCAACTTGTATGTGATGCAGCTGAATGCATATATAAACATCCAAGTGTCTGTCAATGAGAGGTTGCTAAAAACATTCTTGGGCAATGCATATCATGAAAAAAAAAACACATACATTTGCAAAAAAGGAAATTTCAATGCCGAAATCAACTTCTCTTTGAATGCCACGTGGTGTTCTCTGAGGGGTTGCAGTTGGTGACACCAGTTTGTTTGTTTGTTTTTAATTTTAAGGTTTTTATTCAGTGAGAGAAATGCATAAGAGAGTGAGGGCCCTATCAAAGAGAGAGAGGGAAATCTGGATTCATACTGAGTACCAGGAGCCAGCCATGTGGAGGAGCACGCAGTCCAGAAAGCATGGGGCAGGTGGCTCAAAGGCTATGTGCCCTGAAGGTGCAGGGGCAGCCAGTGGGTCCAAGGAATAAGGAAAAAGGGCAAAAAAAAAAAAAAAAGAGCTGGGCCCACAGTGTCCCAGGTCTTTAATCCACTTCCAAAGGGGAGTGTTAATTAGCCTGACTGGCAGGTGGGCACACAGATGGGGCCAGGTAGGGGGATGAGGCCACACAGGAGGCATGATGAAGGCATGGCCTTCCGGCTCACAAACCTGATCGATTTTATCCTATATACCTGCCTACAACATTCCCCCCTCAGAGACTCCATTCTCTTAATCTTAAGGGATGTTGAAGGGCATAGAATCATCACATCTTCCATAGCTGCTTCCTGCTTATGAGGGGCGTAGTGCAGGCCCTGCCTGTCTTGGGTCTGGAAGTCTCTATCTCATCTAGTGGATTTGCTTTGTGAGCTGGAGCAGTCTTGGGGTGATACTAGTTATGACAGCTGTCAGTCACCCACCAACTCTTGGCATCTTGACCTGAAGCTTTGGGAATTCCTTTCTGGGATTCATCCAGGCCTGTGGGAGAAGAAGTTGCATGCATGCGTGTATCCCTGTGCATGCCTCCAGCAGCAGCACAGGCCTCATTGCAAAAAAATACACAAACCCCACCAAACTGAAGTGAGTGATAGCCATTGGCCATGGCCACTTTGCAATGGAGAAGCAGCTGTGGAACTTGTAGCTGGGGTGTGACTCTGCAGCAGGAAGAGGAGGATGAAGAGAGGAATCAGGGGATGGCTCAGATCCCAGAGCATCTGTTGCATCCATGTTGGAGATCTGGATGGAGCTCCTGGCTCCTGGCTTTAGCCCAGATTCTCCACACGGCCCAAATTCTGCACACAGACCAGATTCTCAAGACACCTCAGATTCTCCACATGCCCCAGAGGTAGGTCTTTTTGTGGTGCCAGGAAATAATCACACACACAAAAAATTAACCCCATTCCACAGTACTTTCACAAAGAGAAAAAAAGAAATCGAAAAGCAGGACAGAGACCATAAACCACAAGTAACATGGGCTGAGGCCTTACCTGTGCTGAGGTGCCCCTTTACCTGCTCCCAGGTGCCCTGAAGCCTCCCCAAGTCCCAGCAGGAAAAAAAAAGAGGAAGACAGAAGTGGGAGCCCCTGCCCAGCTGGAAGCTTTCATGCCTGCTCCTGAGACAAGGGACTGACACATATCTGACAGCTGTCCAGGGGGAATTCAGCTGGTCAGTGACATGTGGAGGCTATTCCCATTTGTTGAAGAGGCACAGATGGAGTGGGGGATAAAATGACAGGAAGGAAGCAGAGTCAGTCTTGGCATTAAAATACACACACACACACACACACACGGCCATCATTCTGTCAATCACACGGGGTTGTTAGCCTGTATATCACAAGCACATGAGGACCTGGACATCCTGGGGAAATCATCCTGTCAATCACATGGGCATGAGGACCTGCATATGTTACTGTGGGGAGCAACTGAGACTAGACTAAGTTACTGGAATTAAGACTTATTCTATGCATCTGCTCTCCCACAATATGGCGCTGAGAGAGAGCCCAAACAACCTCTATGCAGCTGCCTCTCGCCAGTTTGACTGATAAGCTGCAGGAGCTGATCCTGCTCCTGATTGGAGGAGAGCAGCGTGCTCGGCATGTGGGCAGCAGAGTTGGGATTGGTGGAAGAGGACTATAAAGGAGGAGAGAGACAACATGCACCAGGAACATCCGGATAACATCTGAGCAGCCCCCGAGAGAGCCGGCCGGCGGTGTGCCACTCCTCCGCGGAAGCGGGGAAAGTGGCAGGGGGTACCAGGTGGAGGGGTCGGCAGCCAACCCGGGAAGGACCAGCAGCAAACCCAGGAAGGGCCGAGAAGACGAAAGAACAGCGTAGGGTTTAGTGTCATTCCTCCACGAAGAGGGGGAGCAACATGTCACCAGTTGCTTTCTTTCTCTTCCTATCTCTTTTTCTCTCGCTCTCTCTCTCACTAACTCTGCCTTACAAATAAATTATTTTTAAATAAAAAATGGGAACTGGCTTTCAGGGAGACTCATTGCTTTGCAGCCCTGGACCTCAGCATCAAGCTTCCTCTTCCTCATTCAGCCCATGAATGACATTTTGATTCAACTCATTCTAGAAACTGGGACGTCCTGGACTTTCCAGGGGCACCAGTGATGTGGCTGCTGGTGGGGGAAGAACCAGTGATTCTGGTTCTGGTTCCCATTTTGCTTTCAGGCTGACTATGGACAGCCAGATGGATGATTGAGAGATGGATGGATGCTTGACAGATGGATGATGGACTGGTGGATAATGAAAGGCAGACGATGATTGTCAGATGGTTGGATGATGGACGGATTACAGGTAGGGACATGCACAGGTAGAAAGAGAGGTTGATGGGTGAATGATGGAGAGATTCACACATAGAGACTGAGATATATGAAAGAGAGGTGATTGACTTAGAGATTAATGCTCAAAGAGATAATAGATAAGTCATAAACACACATAGAGGGATGATTGACAGAATGATAAGAAGGAAAAGAGAGGAAAGAGAGATGATTGACAGAATGATGAGTAGATGATGGATTCATTCCTAGATATGCAGATATAGGGAAAGACATGATGTACAGATTAATAAAGAGGATGGGTAGCTGACAGGTGCCCCATATATATAATTAGACAATAGGTAGAAAGAGAGATGGTAGACAGAGGTAGATGATACATGATGATAATGAAGATAGATAAGAGATGATGGATTATGGATGGACGTAGATGGAGATGTAGATACATAGATAAAAAAGATAGATAGGTAGATAGATGTATAGTACAGGGAAGCTGCACTGAAAATCAATGGACAGCTGGCCTGGTGATACACCCAAAAGCCGGACTCAAGTTCAAGCATTGTTACGACAGCTCCCCAACGTGGGTGCAATAGATCTTTGCATGAAGACAAATCCTGATGGGAGACCCAGCACAAGCAGCAGGTAAGGCAGCCATCAGAACTGATGGGCATCTGTCGAGACGGATTAGGGACACTGAGGGACCTGGATGGAGCTGCTGGATCCCTGACTGCATCTCCCTGGTCACGCACACATGAGAGGCAGCAGCAGGGGATGGCTCAGGGCATTGTGCACCTGCCTCCTATGTGGTGGCATTCACCTGATGTCCGGGAACTCAGGTGCCCCAGGCACAGGTGAGCTCCTGCAGTCCACCAAGGCAGCCCAGCTCAGGCCCAGACCTGGACCTCAGGCTCCTGCCTTCAAAGGCCTCGGATGCCGGAACCACCAGGCAGCCCACAGTACTGTGTGTGGCCTTCAGGTGACAGCAGCGTCCTCCAGGTAAACCTCACAGCTCTGAACACAGGTGCTGCTTCTGATTCCCATGCAAACACAGGTGAGCATGCATGGTGACCGTATACTGAACGACACCCCACCCCCACCCCGTGAGCAACCCTTGTCTCCTCCCCTAATTCCAGAGTGCCCTTTAAAAATAATAGACACCCCTGAGTATGCTGCTGCAGGTCCACCTGCCTGCATTGCTTTTATGCAGATAAACAGGATGACAGATTGATGAGCCGTCAATGGGAGTGACAGACAGTGGGAGACCGTCCACACACCAGTGAGCGACAGCGCATGTGGGCTGTGGCCCCACCAGTTGGTGGAATGTCTCCTGCACCCACAGTCTGACCACACAAGTCCCAGCCAAAGTCCCCCAAATCCAGCTGACCTCTTACAGATCAACACATGAGGGACAGCTCCATCCCTCAGCCCCTCATCTCTGTCCCTTCATGCCTTAATTCACGTCCCATGTGAACAACACCCCAATGGTTGCACATTTTTCTTCTCATTCTTCCCTTCAGGAAGAGTGGGGTTGTGTGCAGCTGTGGACATGAGCTGACCTCATTTGCCAGGGGCTCCGATTTTTCAATCTTGCCATAGGAGGAAGGACTGGGAGGTGGGGAAGAGGAACAGTAGATGGACAGGCAGGCAGAAAGATAGACTGGTGGAGGAGGAAGAGGAGAGGGAGGCGGTGCTGGCTTGTCAGTCAGCCTCCAGGTGAGCCCAGAATTTGCAGGATCTATGGCTGCTGCTGCTGAGCTGATTTGCACCTGCTCATGGCTCCTGCTCCAGGTGAGCAGAGTGGGATGAGGAGGAGGAGGGGAAGTCCTTGGGGGAGGAGGGTGAAGCCTAGGAAACTTCTAGAAATTTAGGATCCCCCTTCCTGGGTCTCCCCAGAGCTTCCCAGCTCTGATCACCCAGGTGGGTGTATCTGTGTGAATGTTAAGGTCTCAGCAGGAGGCACCTGGAGCTTGGTTTCAGCTGGGGCTGCACCTGGCAGGCTGCACACAGCTGATAAAGGCTTTGAGATGCAAGCCAAGATTTAAAAAAAAATTCCCACCCCATTAAGGACTCAGGGTTGGCATCTGGGGGTGGGCTTGGGCAGGGAGTGAGTGACAGGCAGAGGGAAAAGAGAAGAGGAAGCCTGGAGGAGAAAGTGGTGGTTGATGATGGATGGGCTGCTGTGACATGGCATGCCAGGGCATGCCCCACCCAGTCCACCTGCTGCGAGATGGCTCAGGTCCTTGTGCACCTGCTGCGTCCACGTGGCATACCCCGATGGAGCTCCTGGCTGCAGTCCCCTGCTCATGCACTTCTGGGAGCAGCAGCAGGGGATAGCTCAATGCATTGCGCACCTGCTACAACCACATAGGAGACCCAGATGGAGCTCCTGGCTACAGGCTCCTGCTGATGCCCACCTGGGAAGCAGCAGCAGGTGCTTGCTCAGGTATCTGTGTGTTTTGTGTTTTCTGCTTATTAAATAATAAAAGCCAAACCGAGAATGTGAATATTTTTCCATTTTTTTCCTGGTGGGGCACGAGGTCAGGGGTCATGCAGGTCAAGAGTCACAGAGGTCAGCCGGCAGATTTAGGAGAAATGCTAATGTCATTGTGGAGAGAATTCCTATCACCTCTGGGTTTTTTTTTTTTTTTCCAGTGTAACTGACACACGTCAAGGAAGTATCTTCTCAAATGGTTCAGAGGCTCACTGGCTGAGCTGTCATTTCCATGATGGACACTGAGTAACAACAGAGACGGCATCTGTGGTCTTGGCTGGAGCCCAAGGGTGTGGCTGAGGTATCTTCTCAGCATCTAGGCAGCCACCATGGCTTAGTTTCTAAAAAGTTCCAGGAAGGGCGGGCCTTGCAGGGTAATGGACAGCTGCAGCCCTGCCCACAGCTGAGGGAGGGTTCCTTGAGAGCAAGAGGGTCTCTGATGCATAGCCAAAGGGGGATCCTTGGCAGCGACAGCTCCATCTCCCTGTCCCCCACCCCCTCCTCTGAGTGACAGCTGAGGGAGGGGTTCCCGGAGACCATGGACGTCTCTGACTCACATCCAGAAGGGGTCCTGTGCAGCAACAGTCCCAAGCAGCCAACCCCTAACAGCCCCCCTCCTTCCCCAGGTAAGGTCCTCAGGTCCCCAGGATGGTGCCCAGCACAGGCTGAGGGGACCTCAGAGGTCCGCATCCTGCAGCTGTGGAGCCCAGGAGACATTCCCCCTGCCCCCGCTGCCCGCTTTGCCTCCTTAGTTTGCAAACCCCTTTTACATCACCACATAGTGTGTGTCTGCCAGTGTGAATTTGGGCTGTGCCAGGGCTTCCAGGCTGGTGCTTTCCGGTGGGGAGCGAGGGAGCCTGGGGGAGTCCACAGTGGCTTTCTGCTCCCTAACTTCAGGGTACCCCGGGTTGGATGCCCCAGGCACCTCCTGGGGGTCCATCCTGGGCAGGTGGATGACCAGTGTGTGCTCCGGGGCACTGTCTTCCATTGGATCCGGAGGTGCCACATTCTGGGTGTCAGAGATCCACTCCTGCTGGGGTGAAAGGTGAAAGGTGAATGGTGAAAGGTAAAAGGTGAGGGGTAAGTACATGGGCCAGGAACACTGGGCTTTACCTGGAAATCTCCTCGGTGGCACTCGAAGAGCCCGGGGAAGCTGGATCTGGGGTCTGGCACAGTGGGCACGAGAAATTTCTTGACACTGTAACCGACAGCTGTCATTCATGTGGCAGGTCCTCCCCTTCCCTCCCCACCCAGGAGCACAAGACCCTGAGCCATCCCCAGGAGCTCCATCTGGGTCTCCCAGGTGGGTATAGCAGGTGCACAAGGCCCTGAGCCAACCCCTGTTGCTGCCTCTTCCCAGGTGTGCATGGACCCCTGCCCAGCCCTGATGCCCCCCCGACCTGTGCATCTGGTCAGTGCCGGCCTCACCTGTGCAACTTCCACAGGGACAGAAAGAGGAGGCCCATGCTCAGGATGCTGGCCAGGACAAAGATGAAGGTCAGCTTGGGGCCCTGAGCCCTGTCTGAGCATGAATCTTAAAAAATAAAATAAAATAAAATAAAATAAATCAACAAGGCCCTGCTCCATTTCTAGAACCTTCTGGAATGCTCTAGAATGCCATGAACTGCCTTCAGGCCACAAATGAACCAGGCATGCACCTGCACACACACCCCCAGCCAGGGCAGAGGCAGGGCCACCCACAAGACCCTGATGCTGACCCTGTCCATCATCATCCACAGAGACATCTGTCAATCAGTCCACTCACCTGTGTGTCACTACTACTTATCTATCATCTATGTCTATCTATCATTATCTATGGAGACATAGGTAATATGGACTGATCTGTCAATCAATCCACTCATCTGATGGCTATCTGCCACCTGTCAATCATCTATGTCCATCTTCATGCATGGAGACATATATAGTACAGACTGACCTGTCAATCAATCCACTCATCTGTGGGTCTATCTACCATCTGTCAATCACATATGTCTGTTGATCATCCATGATATGTATAATACAGATTGACCTGTC